CTTCAGTAAACGGAAGCAACTTGAGATCATACTCATAAGTGAAATAAATCAAACTCACACTTGTAAATATCACATTGTCTCCTTAGTGTAAAAAAAACAAAGTAATAAGATCTGAAATTTATAATAGATTTGTGATAATGAAAGGGAAAGGAAATGCTGAAAGGGAAAGAACAGCTGAGGTAGGAGAAAGGAGAAAAGGAAGAAGGGAAAAGATTATATATATATATATACAAGGTAGCTATAATACTAATCGGTTAGTTAATACAGAAGTTTATGCTTTCATTGTTTGTTTGATCATTTTTTGTGCCTAAATCTTATAACCCGAACAACTATTTTTAAGATAATAATATGCAATATATTAATGTGTTAATTTCCTGCTATTTTTTGAAATTCTGTATCATTTCTATCTTTCATGTTTTGCTTTTTAAAATAGAAAAAAAAGAAAAAGCCATTTAACAGTGTATATAGTTACATGGAAATCTATTAGCCCTACAGAAATGACAAAAAGAACTTAACCTAGAGGAGTATTGTCTATTATGTACTATTTTGACCTCACTTCTACCCCAGGATATTTACCAGTGTCTCAACACATTGCATTGTTAGGAGCCATGAACATCTATAGGATGAAAACCAGAGATATTATTAAATATCTTCTAGTATATGACAGCCCTCTCTCTCTCCTAACAAAGGTCTATCTAGTCCAAAATTATAAAGTTGAAAAACTCTGGACTTAGAATTCTATAAAATTTTATTTCACTGATCATCCTGAATTGTCCTCCTGGCTAGAGTATGGAAGTCAAAGGTCAGTTCTCCAAAGACTATTGTATACAGAATTTGCACAAGCACAGCTAGCAGAAACTCTGATTCTCTGCAGAACCATAACTGGAACATTATCTGTGATGTTAGATGTTATTTCTACCACAATGTTTCTTATCTTTTATTATACAGCTCTCTGATAATATTATTTTGGAGCTGAAAAGCTTTTATCACCAGGTGACACCGTAGTCATCTGAAAGTCATAGTGTAATGTATTACTCGTGTGTTTACAATGACGCTGATATAAAAAAAGTACTGTGTTGTCAGGCATACAGAAGTATACCATATATAGTTGCATAAAGTACATAATATTGGTAAAGATAATAAATATTATTGGCTTATATATACTAAAGTATACTTTTTAATCATTATTTTACAGTACACTTCCTCTATATTTTCCTTTAATGTTCACTATTAAACAGTGTGTCATGATGCCAGCAGCAGCCCTACACATCCCAAGTTTACTGTCTCTTGATTGCATTATTTTCTCTTGCATCTGACTGATTCTTGAGTTGCTTCATTCATCATGGCCCTACAAGCAATAAGCAACACAAATGTGTATCACACATGGCCTATGGAGTCAGCCATATTATTTGTCTGTGTAAGTACATTGTATGCTGTTCACACAACAATAAAATCATCTGATGCATTTCTCAGAACATATTCTATATTAAATGATACATGACTATATTTAAAAGGAGGTAGTCAGGGCTGGACTACCCTGAGGTGTTCAGTGATAAAGCATATGCTTAACATGTACCAGTCCCTGATTCCCTACCCACCCTAACCCTAGCCTAGGGGTAGGGGAGCTAGCCAAGGCAAAACTCAGAGTGACATTAACAGACTTATTTATAACTCAATAGAGGATTCAAGTAAAAACCTAGAAAACAATTACAATAAACCTTAACAACTATCTTACTTTTTTTTTAATGAACAAAAAAATGTGTATTTGGAATTAGCCAGCTGGACTCAGTTCACATGATCCCAATTTTGTTGGCAACACCCAAAGCATCATAATCAGGAGCCGGTGGAACCTACACCTTTTTCTCTCCATCAGGCCTGATTTGGGTGTTGACCTTGGCCATGTCGATGTCGTAGAGCTTCTTCACAGCCTGTTTGATCTGGTGCTTGTGGCCTTGACATCCACAGTGAACACGAGTGTGTTGCTGTCCTCCATCTTCTTCCTAGCTGACTCCGTGGTCAGGGGGAACTTGATGATGGCATCGTGGTCAAGTTTGTTTCTCCTGGGCGCTCTTCCGAGGGTATCTGGACTGCCTCCAGAACCGCAGTGTCTGGGGATGGCGGAAGGTGGGTGAATTGCGGATCTTCTTCTGTTTGTGGCTGTGGATGCTTTGAAAGACCATATTATTTGAAAGGCTGAAGCACAGCCTTCTTGGCCTTCAAAGCTTTTGCTCTGGCTTCAGCTTTGAGAGGGGCAGGAGCTTCCTTCTTCACCTTTGGCACCATCTTAGTTATCTTACTTTGCTTGCTGCTGAGACAAATACTTGCTAACAGAAATTTAAGGAAGGAGAGATTTATTTTGGTTCACAACTTATAGAAGTTTCTTTCCATAGTCAGCTGACTCCAACGCAAGGCATCATGGCAGAGAGGCATGGCAGAGGAGAAACAGCCCATGGCATGGCACCAGGAAAGAGAGATCGAGGGAGATAAACTCAGCAGTGGACCAAGCCATGGATGAGTGCCATACTCCCCTGACCCAGTCACCTCCCCAGAGTCCTACCTCTGAGCACATGAGGTTTTCAGGGAATATCTAGTGTAAACCAGTACAACAGTAAACTATTACAAAAATATGATAGAAAAAAATCTTTTTCTCCCCTTTATACATACATACAGACAGAAAGCAAGAGAGAAAATGAGAGAACATAAAGGAATCATACTCAGAATATATAAACGGACTTATATATAGACTACAAGGAACTTCTACAAAGTAAAAATTTCAAAAACTAACTTAAAAATGCGCAAAAGATTTACTCATCATAAAAAAGGTATTCAAATAGCTAAAAACAAAGTGCTCATCTCCAGTGCTCATGAGAAAAATAAAAACTAAAAATAATAAAATACCAGCATACTACCACTAAAATGATTGTACTAAAAAGGAATACACTCACTCTGGTAAAATGTAGATAGATGGAATTATTACACAAGGCTGGTGGCAGTGTAAAATGGCTCACTTTGGAGAATACTTCAGTAGCTTCTTATAAAGTAAACATATAAATACTAACTCAACAATACCATTCCTAGAAATTTATTCAAAGAAATAAAAAATATATGTCCACAAAAGGACTTGTACAGAAATGTGTACAGTAATATTTATATTCATAAAAGCTGCCCAAAATATAAACAACCCAAATCATCCATCCACTGGAGAGTAGATACACAATTATGGCATATTTATAAGATGAAATGATATTCAGCAACTAAAAAGAACAAACTTAACAGTACACAAACCACGGGTAAATCTCAAAAGTAAAACTACTCTATGACAATTCAGAAAGTTATAAGAAAATGTGCTATTTACAAACAGTGAAGGACTACTTTCCCATAAAGAAAAACTTGAGTCCTCTGTAGGAAATGGATGTACCTTGAGACCGTGTTAAGTGAAATAAACCATACATACAAGCTTAAAGATTGTATGGTTTCTCTTAAAGGAAAAACCTAAATTATAAATAAAGAGTAAAACAAAATAGAAAGTAGGGAGATGGAGCTTTCTCAAATGGGAAAGAGATCAAGAGATGGAGAAGAGAAAGAAGGGGGAGGCAAAAGGTATGAAACATGAAATTAAGATGTGTTACGTACATGCCCAGTTCCATATAAGAAATGCAAATAGTATGTACTACATAGGTGCTAAAAAAAAATTATGGTCCCAGGAGACAGGGATGAGAATTGACTAGAAGAGGTCAAAGAGACCTTTCTTTTGTAATGGAGATGTTCTTATTCTTTATCTTGTTTTAGATACTGGTTACAAGAGAGTGTACACTGTAACAATTCCTAAAAATGTTTATTTATTCTCCATTTTATTCTATGTAAGTTATACTGTACTTCAATAAAACAAAATAACCTATAAAATCAGTCAATAAAACCAATATTTTTCTCAGAAAATAATAAAAAGAATATCCTGACAAGGCTAAGGAAAAAAATAAGACTAAGAAAATGAATTTAACAGCTATGAAAGTTTTGATATTATGAGAATACTAAATACAGTATCATATAAGCAAAAATTTTTAACTACAATTTACCAAACTGGTAAAATGAATCACTTCTTAAGAAAACAAACTAACATTTATTTATTGAAGGATGTACATAAAAAAAAAAAAGAAAAAGAAAACAAACTAACAAAAGTGTCACAGGGAGAAAAAGAAAACATGAACAAAAACCACAAGAAAGAGCAGAGTGTGGTGGCATGGGCCTGTAGTCCCAGCACTAAGGAGGCTGAAGCAGGAGAATTGCCATGAGCTGGAGGGCAGTTTAGGCTACACAGTGAGTTCAAGGCCAGTCTGAACTACATAGCAAGAGACTGTCTCGAAAAAACAAAAACAAGAAATTGAAAAATAATCAAAAACCAATCCACCCTTGAAGTCGTTTGGCTCTGACAGTTTTAAGAATAAATTCTTCCAATTTGGAGATTCTAAATGGGGTGATGGGAGGAGAGAGACAAAAAGACAGTGAGTCAGAGACAAATAGAGGAATGCAGACAGAGAGAAGAGGTGAGAGAAGAGAAGGAGAGAGAGACTAACAGGGACAGAGATTGATGCAGAGACTGACACAGAGACAGACAGAGGCAGAGACAGAGAGACTGGGAAAGAGATCAAGAGGGAGATAAAGACAGAGACAGAGACAGAGACAGAGACAGAGACAGAGACAGAGACAGAGAGAGAAAGAGCCAGTGTAATCCTAAATATTAAAACTGGTATACAGAATCAAGAGTATATTCACAGAATACATCTTGGAAATGTAACACTAGGTATGCACCAAAAAATCCAACTAATATAGCTCATTAAATTAAGCAATTAAGTTTTAACATGTTTTAAAATTACTACTGTAACAAAAGAAGGAATTAGCAAAAATTTAAGCTTCATTCCTGATTTTTTTAGAATTCTGAATATACTTTAATTCACATTTTTAAACACAACAGAGCTCTAAGAGTGTATAATGAAGTTGCTGCTTTCTCTGTCTGTCTGTCTGTCTTTGTAAGTGGATCTCAAATACAATAAATGACATACCTGATATCTGTTATAACTACAAAGGAATAAGGAAGAACAGTAAGGTCAGTATTTGTAGCACAGAGATAGAAGCTGGGTCTTCCAGCTTTCTTTTCAAAGAAAAAGCAAAAAAACAAAAACAAAAACAAACCTTAAAATCTGAAGAGTCAAAGTGAATTCCGAATTCCAGTCCCAGCTTATACTACATTTTTCACTTAGGATAACATTACAGATATCTTCTAGTGAGGTTATTTTCTGAAGAAGCTAGAAAACACAGTGTTATTCCTGAACATAATTCACAATCATACATAACTGTCAAAGGGCCAACTATTTGACTCCGGGCTTTCAAAACACTAGACCTTTCCAGGAATTCAGCCTTTCTGCTACCTAGCTACAAACTGCCGATTTGACAGCAGTCTTCGAGTTTCTCCTGAGCAAACTGCTCTTTGTGTCCATGCCTGGCATCTAACATAGGGTACAGCAAATATTAGATACTTACTAAACATTTTTATTGAATGACTGAATAAAAGAAGAGAAAATTACAGCAGAAAATGTGAACAGTCTTTAGATGGAGCTAAGTAAAAATCACATTAACAAAGCAGGATCCATTTCAAAAAAAAAAATGATAAATCCCAAAAGCTATCTAAGTCAAATATATTATATAAGCTAAAGATGGAACCTGGAATTCAAACTGGATATTTAGTTCTTTACATTGAATATCTATGTCCCTGACCCTCTTTGGATTTTCCAGTTTTTAACTATTCCACATTTCCATGTTATGTGATATAAAATCTAATGACTAGGGCATGTAGCTTAGTGGTAGGGTGCTTGCCTACTATGCTCAAGGCCACGGGTTTGATACCTATCACCACAAAACAAACCAGCCCCCCCCCCAAACAACTAATGATTAAGCTTTAAATGATATATATTTTCAGTTTTTAAATTATCTGGCTCTTTTGCAAATTTAGGTAACTTTTCTAGTTTACAGCTCCTTAATGAATTTTCATTCTTGGTTTTATGTCTTGGAATATAGTAAGCTTAAGTTGTTTGCAGTCTGTTATCTCCCCTGCCAGGAAAGTATATCTAACAATTTCAATAGTCCATCTTCACTGAATCTATTTCTATTGTCTGCTGCCTTTGCTATTTGTTATTCAAGGTACCTTATGTCTTTCTATGGTGATGGTCTTAGTTTGTATTTTGGACAACTTATATACTAGATGATGACATCCCCTTGCATGGAGAACTTCCACTTGTTTCTGCTAGATTTTGGAAGAGCTACCAATCCAATACTATTTTAAGTAGATTTAAGATTCCCTGATCCAGCAATAATGAAAAATTGTGCTGATAGTTCTTGGAAAGGGCTATGTTAACTACCCTTTGTGGTTCCAACTCAAGAGTTAAGATGCAGAGTCTTCCTGTGGAGAATATGCAGAACTCAACTTCAAATCTGGTAAGCTATGTTCAACAACATCCTTAAAACAAGTGGCTCAAAAATAAATAAATAAATAAATTTTAAAAACTAAAAAAATTTTAAAAACCAAGTGGCTTTGCGAGAACAGGTTTATTCCTATGGGCTCATCTTCCAGATACTTTAAGACTCTGTTATTTTGTCTAGTTTCTTTAGTTGTCCTTCATAGGTTAGATCCAAATTACCTAACCTGTCATTATAGAGCATAATCATGTTTGTTCTAAAGAATTAAATCTCTGTGAACTGGCAGTTGAAGGAAATATCTTCAACTTGCTAAAAGGATTTACTATAACCTACAGCAAACACCATACTTAATAATGAAAGAGGAAAAACACTGCCATCAATATTATAGATGAGACAAGGATATCAACTATCACTGTCACTATTCAAAATTCAACTAATAATGCCAGACAATGCTATAACAAAAGTAAAACAAAGGTATAAACTGTGCAAAAGAAAAGACATAGATCAAGGAAACCAAGGAAAAGTGATATAAAACAACACTGTTAATGTGGCCAAGTACAAGAAATACACACAAAAATCATACTCTTAAAGAATAACAATTACGAATTAAAACATATGCAAAAAGATTTCATTCATGTGGAAACAGCCAGAATTTAGGTATAACTAAAGTAATATGTTTGACATTTACAAAACCTGTACACTTAAATGTAGATTTTTAGTGTTGTGCATCATTTATAAATGGGCAAGCCTTTGAAATACAAAATAAATAAACAGGCATTCTTCACTCTATGTCTATTACTTGCATGTAACTGCCTTCTATCTTACACAAGATGGTAAGGTTTGTTCTTTATTACATATCACATATTCTTCACATGGGGATAAGATGTACATACCTGCAAATAATTGAATGATGCTCTGTTCCTTAAATGCTTTCATAATTTCAAAATTTTAATTGTGTATGAAATTCTACAGTTATAAAGTTCATTTTATGTAGAAGTTTACTTTCAGAAGAGGAGTCCAAAAATCTCAGGTTCAAATTCAGGTATTGAGCAATAACTTTGGTTTTCAAATGACTTTAAAAGTAATTTTAAATTAATACACTAGAAGTGCTCACTAGTAGCAGCGTCTCTTAAAAAGAGGAAGAAGTAGCAAATGAGTAGGTTAGGACTGCAAAGTAACAACAGTAATACCACTCAAGAAAGGATGAAGGAAACTAATGCCAACTACTGACCACTAGAAAAATACAACCACAGCCATATCTCCAGAATCACATGATGGCTGGTACTTTTGCAAATTTCTATGTTCACAGTAAACCTGGATCTACTTACTTATAGACTTTATATGGATACGTTCATGTTATAATGTGATTCTAACAAAAAGCATAATGCAACTACTTGACAAATACTTTACAAGTAAGTCCATCAAAATCTTTACTATTTACCACACAAAAAGAAATAAGCCCATTTAAGTGACTGTCAGTTTCCATTTTCTCAATTGGGTTAATGGGAAATAAATAATACCAAGTTTAAAGCATCTGAATCCACTAAATGGGTTTTAAATGCTGTGACATAAAGAAGCTGAAAACATGAGCTTCAATTTTACCTTCTATAATATAACAAAACTTGAATTTAAGCTGACAATTTCTATACTAGGTTTCAGCCAAAAGCAATTTAGAAACAAGTCAAGTCAGAAACTCCTTAAAAATAAATTTAGGTCTGTAACAAAAATGCTGACAGATGCTGCTTTATAATAATGCCTGGTAAAGCCACTATATTTTAGAAATGACTATCACAATATGTATGCAATTCCTATATATTAAAACAAAGCAACACCTAGCTTATAATTAAATCAGGATTATGAATAGTTCCCTGTGATATGTTTATTATAAAGTGTGATGCAACAAGAAAATGTACTGAGTTAAAATATAATGCAGTCAATGATTTATTAAAGCTTTAATTTAGACTTAACCAAATATGAACATAAATATTAGGGAGGGAGTCAACAAGTCCAACTTAGAAGGGCCAAAACATGACTGACTTCCAATATGGCTAATATATACTATAATTACTTATGAAATCATATCTATCATGAAATGATCAAACTTCTTGTTTCAGACCAAAATACAATTTAAAATATATGTAATTTTTAAAATAAAACTGTTTCTATATCCCTTAGAGAGCTATCTACAGCTACTACTCTTTCTGCCATTACATCTCATGCTATCTTCATCTTTGATAGTTACAATTCACTGTTTATTTCTACCACCCCCTGCTTTGAACACTCCCCATGTGTACTTTAACATATAATAATTTTCAAAGCAACATGGGACTAAAACAGCATAAAGATTCCACTAACATGAAAGAACAATGGGAACATACTTGAATAAATATTCAAAGCAAAGTAAAAATCTAGGAGCATAACAGACTTTTTCATTATAAAGTTATATGCATGCCTCAACATACAAATTATATTAGTGCAGAGTTTGTTTTAAATAATTTAACTGAACTTTCTTAAGTAACACTATTATTTTTAACTTAATTACTGGATTTGTCTGATTGTATGGGTATGTTCCAGTGAGCAGCAATCCAGGGAAGTGGGTAGTGATTTCAACAAGAGCAAATTTGCCCCCAAAGGGGCATATGGTAATGTCTAGGTATATATTTTATTATCAAAACTGATATAGGTGGGGAGATCTTTTTGCAAAGATGTTGCAAAAAAAAAAAAAATCCAACAATGTATACAACAACTCCCCAAAACAATATCAGCCTAAAATGTTAATAGGAACATTACTGAGAAACACTGCACTGATTCCTTTGTTTTCTTATCAAGCAACAACCAACCAAGTTTCTGTTACTGTTAACCCAAATGAAAACAAAAAGTACCAAAAATCAGCACTGAATTTATGGTAAACAGGAATGAAACATGCAGATGACCTCCAAAAACAACTGACTGATTCATTCATGCTTTCAACAGATGTATAGGGCACGATCCTAGACATTGAAAATCTGTGTTTCCCAAAACAGCTAAGGTCTGTGCCTCCAAGTAGCTTAGTTTCGCTGAATCCCAGGCTAAAGAAATGTTCAAGCTAAATAAAAACTCTCAATGCCCGGCACATACCAAAAAACTGAAGTTGTTATGTACAGTATATGCATATCTGCTGATCAGCATTTATTCTGTTTTTGGAAATGTCTTTATTTTAATGAACCAAAATTAATTTTCCACTCTTTACTTTGAATCATAATTCTGCTCTCTTGAGTCACAATCCCTGTTACACATGACAGCGCTTTCCATATTTAAAGACAGCTATTATATATCTCTGAATTTTGTCTCCTAAAGGCTGACATAATCCTACAAGTACTTCAGACAGCTCTTTATAACATATGATCCTTAAGACTAAAAGGAAATGAGTGAAAATACTAAAGGTCTATAAGAATTTAGATTATTAATAAGTAGCTGCTATATAACTTTACTTGAATGATTCTTCTCAAACCTACAATACTGATTTTTATGATAATATATCATTTCCAAATTCCTGTATAAAAAGTAATATGCTTGACACTTTAATGCATGACCATAATTAATAATCACAGAAATCCTATGAAATAGATACCATCTTCTGTTGAGACATGACAATAATATGTTCAGAAACAATAACAATTTTCTTAAAACCATATATCCTTTACCTAAACTCATGCTCTTTTTGCTAAAGCATGTTTCTTAAAGTACTGCTTACTTCATATTTTAATTCTTTTGTATTCTGGCTATATGTCAAAAGGCATTATTCATGATACAAAGCAACACTTTGAAAATAGCTAAATAGGAAGTAAAAAGGATGAAATTGCTATATAAATAGATAGATCCCATGATAAATGAAGGCATCATGTATCACAAATACACACTAATAAAAAAATACAAACTAGTTAAATAATCACAACTACTTGGTCTTAGTCACCTCTCTCAAAGAACTCAGGCAAGGAGGTGGAGCCTCACTGATGGGAGAGAGGAAAGGTATGGCCACAGCAAGTTTAAGGGCAGGGCCTAGACTGGGGCCCTGGAAGGGACCAAGATGGAAGGTGGGGTTTGAGGAGAAGCAGGTGTGGGGGCTAGAGATGGGAGTGGGCTCTCAAGATGATCCTAAGCTTGGAGTCTTGAGGCACAGCTAAGGCAGGGCCCAGCTCCTCCAGGTCCAGGCCGATGCAGTGGGCACAGCAGCAGCAGCAATCCAGGGCAAGCTGCTCCTAAGGGTCTTGGTAGCCACTTATCCACACAGATCCAGTCCACACAGCCAGGAAATGGGTAGTGACCTTCTTAGAGGTACACACCTGTCTGGCCTTTAGGGGAGACTCAGTGTTCAGAACCTGGTAGGGGGTCTCTGACAACCTAAGCCTACTCTGCTGTTGGAGGGACTGCTTAGGAGTAGCCCAAACAGCTGGGACATCTCTTCAAGGTCATTGATGGCCACCATAAAGGAGAGGGCGCTCAGCTCCTTCCCAGTCCTTAGTTAACTTCCTCTTCCTTGTGCCCTCTCTAGATGGATCTGTCCAAGTCCTCAGCAGGGAATTCGGGCCTGAAGGAAGCACTCAGGCCCTGGTCAATATCTTCTCACTTCCAGCTTGCAAATCACTGTCCTGTGTCTGGGACCTCCTCCCACTCATCTTTCTCCTCTGTCTCACTCTCCCTCTCCAGGTGGATACACCCAGGCCCCCAGCAAGTTGCTGGGAGGGAGCAGGGTAGAGGAGCTTCTCCCTCTTCCTTAGCTGATACCAAATCACTGTCTTCATCTTTCTCCTTCTCTTTTCCTCTGAGTTTTCAGCCTCCTCTAAGGCACCGTCCCTCTCTTCTTCCTGTTTGTCTGTGTTCTCACTAGGCTGATCCTCATCAGACCCAAACTGGCCACTGGGTGGGAACTGAGGAAAGGGTCTGGGGCAGCCTCTCCTTTCTCAGGTGCTTCTCAGGACTTTTCTCACTCCTCTTGAAAAAAGTGCCTCTCCTAAACAATACTCCCCAGGCCTGCGGCTGGAGCCTGACCAATAGGGACAGAGAGAAGTCTTCCTGGGTTCTTTATTCTCTATTCCTTTTTCATCCATGGCTATCTCCTCTTCGTATCCTGGCCAATACACCCAAGTGTTATCCTTGGATCCTGGAGCTACCAGGAAAGTAAGGGCTATAGGAGCTTCTTTGTTGACAGCTTCTCCTGGGGCTCTTATGCAGGGTTTTTGTCATCAGGTTGGAGAGCAGGGGTGCAAAGTGACCATCTGTAATTCCCTTTCCCTGCTCTCTGGGGACACTGTTTCCTTTCTTCTAGCTGTACTCTTTATCACTATCATGTTAAAATCCCTAGGCTTCAGGAGGAGAACTGCTGGCTTTCAGGTCAAGGCAGAGGCCTAGGCCTACTTCTCCATCCTCTTCAAAGACTCCCCAGTCTTCAGCCTCCTCGTCAGGGTTTCAGCCCCAGGGGAAACGGGGCTCTGCCAGAGGAACCTGAGCTGCTTCCTGCAAGCCCATTTCTATCTCATTTGCTTCTATTCCTACTTCCTCCAAGGTCCAAGCCTGGCCCAGGAAACCCATCAGTAAGGACACCAGACACAAGAAGTGGGCATCCTGCCAGGGCTAGGACCCAGTATGATGGGACACTTGGCCTGGAGCCATGGGAGGAGTCACCCCAGGGTACCAGCTCTAGGATGCCAGAGCAACCACAGGTCCACAGGGCTCCAGAGTCCACAGGGCTTCCTTCAAGGGTCAAGCTTGAGGACTCCAAGTATCCCATATTTTAAATTCAAGTATTCATATTACACTATAGATATAAATCAATTTTACAAGGAAGCTAAAGCTCAGAATAGTTTATGCTCATATATAGAACCTTGTTCTAATAAAAAAAAAAAGCAGCCTAATATCAAGTGTTCTTTAACAAGAATATGTTAATTCTACCTGCACAACTCTCCATGCTGGTACACTAATTCTGTTTAACAAATTCTATGTAACATATGCTTTTACAAATTGCTGTCTATTAAAAAAAAACCAACTGATTTAAGAAAGACAGCATTCATTTGAAATTTACCTATGATGTATTGGAATGATATGCTAACCCAAAATTCTTAAAATTTTGGGAGCCAGACACAAGAAGAGTAAGAATTTTTTTAAAAATAGACTGAATTTGTAGCACACTAAATAATCCATTGAACTCTTTATGCCTCTGTACTCTAAAATAAAAATGGAGAAAATAATAGAGCTTATCTAATAAGATTGTTGAAGTCTTCTAACAAGTTTTTAATTGGTATCTTACTTCCATTTTTCTCACCTCTTCCTTACCCAGTTCAATTCCCTCTACATGAGCCACCAAAGTAATCCTTTTAAAACAAAAATCTGACCATGTCACTCTGTTGCTCAACACCTCTAAAAGTCTTATCACATTTGGAATAAAACTCAAAATCTTCATCATAGCTTGCAAGATGCTAGATGATCTAGCCCCCTTCCTTCCTCACTTGGGATCTTTGTACTTGCTCTTCCACTTTGAGTGGTCAGCAAAATACTTAAATGGCTCATTCCTTTTCCTTTGACTCATATAGGTACATAAACCTCATCTCCTTCTCTGATCATTCTGTGATAAGCCTTCTTGGATTGTTCTCTACTGATTTATCTTGCTTTTCCTTCTGCAGCATTGATCACTAATCAGTACTCTATCACTTTATTTTTTTTTCTATCTCTCCCATCAAAGTGTATGATCCACAAGAGGTCTTTGTTTCTTTACTACGTCTTCAACCCTAGCATGGTATTTAGGACTTTGTAGGTACTCAACAGATAGTCAGTCAACTGGCAAGGTGGTCAAATAGGGGTATCCAGTACTCCCCTAAAGAAGAACCAGAAAACAAATAAACAGCTGCATTTCAAGATGGTAGGATTTATACCTAGATGTCCCTCAAAAGCTTCATACACTCAGAGATGAGGGGTTTGTCAGGTGATTAGATTAAGTAGGTCTTATAGCTGGCTTGCTTTTAGGATGTTGATCTGATCAGAAGAGGTGCGTCCTTAGACGTGTACCCTAGAAGGTGATTTCTACTTCATCTCACCTCTTCACTCACTCTATTTCCTGGGTGCCCCTCTGCCATGCTGCCCTGCCTTGAAGCCAACTAACTACAAACAGAAATACGACCTGAAATAAACTTCTCCTTCTTTAAATTTTGGATGTCAGTTACTGTATCCCAGTGATGAAGAAAGCGACTTAAGACATAAGATGAGTTGTCCAGGGACACCACTGAAACCCACAAGGGATAAGACATAGAGCCCTGGGGTGGTGGCATAGAGTAGAATAAAGCTCACTTCCAACTGCTACCCTAGTTCCCTAGCCAAAGTGATTCTCTACCACAGGGCAAAGTGTGAACGGGACGGTCTTGAGGGAGGCAAAGCAAGTCGGGCAGAAGGCATCAAGCAGCAAGTGACAAGTGACAACCCTCTGTCTGTACCTTCTATATCACCCTTAACTCCACCCAGAACTATATCAAACCAATCAGTGACTAATTTAGTAATCACACTCTCCTGATCCCAGCACCACATACTCCAGATCCAGCCACCTCTGAAAATCCTCACCTATGACAGCATGAGGCTTTGAGGGAAATCTAGATATAAGCCATAACAACATCTATTGCTTGTATCTGTATACTTGCAACTACAAGTAGGAATGTGGTCTAAGCCTATACTGCATTCTGTGTAGTCATCCAAAAAAGAGATTTACTCTGTTTATATTCAATTTCAATTATTCAGGTTCATTTGATATACAGCAGATGCTACATGCTGAAGAAGCGGCTCAGAAACACTAATCTTTTTTTATACGTACACATCAGTCCCTTCTTGTGCTTAGCAAAATTTAGCTATCCTGGTTCTAAATTTAGATTTAGAAAGAAAGAAACACTGACCTATCATAGATAAGCATATATATATATATATATATATATATATATATATGCTTATCTATGATAGAAAACAGAAAATAGAATAGAATTCTAAATAGAAAACAGAAAATTTTCTCATTTGTAATTTTAATCACTGTAGTTTGTTATAGGATAGGGGTATACTTGTTTTAGGAAAACATGCATATATTAGAAGGTAATATTATATTAACATTTCTAGCAATATGACAAGCTTTATTCCAACTGTTAGTGCAAGAAAAAATAAAAGGCTGAGATTAAAAGTATTTTCCCATTTTAGATGTCTAGAGATCTGGTTTATTCCCTTAGCTAAAACTGGCTATACATCTTATTTTTATGTTGTCTAGTAAAACACATTGGCAGAGTGGTAGTCTTTCTCTGGATCACAGATAAGCAAGCCCAGGGCTAAGTAGCAGCAATTGGATCATTCAACAAATATTACAAAATTGACCAAGATTAACTAGTGAGGTAGCAGCAAATATAAAACTGTGGCCAAGTCTCCTGGATTGAGATCTCGTATACACTCCTGATAAAATCAGTTTTCAAATTAAAAAATATACATCCAAAAAGATGAAATAAGGAATACATTTTAGGCTACCAGCTAATGACTTGGAAAATATCATCTAAGCTTGAGCCTAGAAACTGCCTGAGAAGCTTTGGCTAACTAACCACTTCTACATAGTGGGATAGAGTCACTAAATAATCACTCCAAAAGAGAATTCAAAAATCTGCAATAGCAATTAGCCACCAGTATCTTACCATGTTTCTGTGATCTGATGTCCATTTCCATGGAAACAGAAAAAGAAGTAAGAGGCAGCCAAGACAAGAGATGTCAGAATTTGTCAAGTTCAGTGGCTGGAGCTGAAAGCTGAAAACCTTTTCTTTTAACAAACAGCACAAGCTGACTTTTGGCACACAACTGATTCTCAAGTTAGGCAATGTCAACCTGCTTGGAGAAGCACAAAGCCAAAAAACAGGTTTAGGTTGTTTTGTTTTGCTTTTAAAAGCTTAGATTAAGGAAAAAAGAAAACAAACTTTAAAAATGACTCAAAGTCTTAAATTTCTAAAACATAAGAATGTAACAGAATTGTTACAAATTCCACAATGAAGGAGAAGAATGTCTGTGCTATGATGAGGGAAGATTGACTGGAATGAATAGCAACAGGATGCAAGTATGGAGGAAGCAAAAAGCAGAGCAAACAGCAAGAACACGCAAAGGCCCTGAAACAAGAAAGCATGAGGCCCTTTCCAAGGCACCGGCAGCATGCAAGAGCGCTTAGTGTGGTGACGGATTATCACAGACGAGCTAACATCTCGGCTGAGGCACGAAGGATGAGATGGATGGAGCTAGGAAGATAGGAATTCAGCAATGGGAAAAGCAGGAGTAAAGACCAGGCAGGTGTCCAACTGGTGGCTGACTGGGTACCCACAGTGCCAAAACTAGTTTGTGCTGCTTGGGGTCTTTCAATGTGCTACCCTCTGACATATCTGAATGGAGCAACCTGTTACAATATAATTTTCCTTTTGCCCAATAATACTAGCTCCAAAACGCACCACCCAGGCATTCTCTCCACCCCTGCCCTGCTATGCCACTATGCACCTGCCCCTTTTAATTGTTGTCATAATACAATATATTTTAAAAGGAAACTTTGAGGGGCTGGGTATTTAGCTCAGCGGCATAAACGCCTGCCTTGCAAGTGTGCGGTCATGAGTTCTATCCCTGGTACCGATAAAAACAAAAAAGAGGGCTGGGGATTTAGCTCAGTGACATAAGTGCCAGCCTAGCAAGCACAAGGTCATGGTTTGATCCCCAGTACTGCAAACAAAAAAAGAAACTTTGTTATGTCAACACACATTTACTATATTACATAGTCTATGTATGGCCCAAAATATTCCTCTTCACCCATGTGCCTAGGCAAGTCAAACGGCTGGACACCCATGAGAGGCAAATGAGAACAAAATGAATTCAGTAACATTAGACTGTTTAGGACAGATGGAACAAAGCAGAAAAAGGTACCATATGCTGATCAAGAAAGGCTTCATTAGCATAAATTAGACTGTAAACTTCTGTCTAGAATATAACAATGGGAATATTCCACTAAAGAGTCTAAATCAAGAAAGTAACGTGACAGTATGTGCACTTTGGAAGGATTACAGTAATTAGCTCAGGTTACAATAGGGATGGAGTATGGAGTCTTTTAACTTTCTCAGGGAGCAAAAGAGGAAGTCTACCTTGGAGGACAGACAGCAGCAGATATGGGAAAATGGGACACGATGAGTAAGGTGAGCTTTTTGTTTGTTTTAGTTTTGGTGGGTTTTTTTTTTTTTTTTTTTTTGTTTGTTTTGGGGGGTTTTTTGTTTTTGTTTGTTTTTGTTTTTTGGTACTGGGGTTTGAACTCATGACCACATGCTTGCAAGGTAGGTACTTATGCCACTGAACTACATCACCGGCCCCAGGACATGATGAGAATGAGCAGTAAGAGAGGAAAAAGGACGAGGCAAGAATGACACTTAGGATTCTGGGCTGAACAGCTGGATGGATGGTAGTCCAATAACTGGTCTGTCACAGACAAAGGAGGAAGAATTCCATGTGAATGACACAATGATGAGTTCTCATCTACGCCTTATGACTTTGAAGGACATATGAAATAGTCAAATAGAACCATCCACTAGGCAGTGATGATGGATGCACATACAACCCGGGAGAAACATTTAAACTGAACATAAGTATCTTGGCTTTAGGACTAGACTGTCCAAGGACAGCAAAAAATCAGAAGATATTCCTACAGATAAATTCTAGAGGCTTTAGACTATGTTCAAACTCTGGCTGCATCACTTACTAAGCACATGACCTTGAACTATTTATATTCTAAACCAATAAAATTATAATTATACCTATTCTGAGGACTGGTACTTCTGAAATAAGCAGAGAAAAAAGATCCTGTAAAGCAGAACAAGAAAGATAAAAGGTAAACACCACAGAGAGAGCAATTAAAATAAAATATACAAGATCTTTTAAGGCATCTTTGATGACCCTGAAAAAAGTATGGTACAAAATACAGACAGAAGTAGCTGGTAGATGAGAAAGTGAGAAACAGATGATGGATATTCTTTCAAGTAGTTTGGCCTATAAGAGAAGAAAGATTATACTAGAATACAGTGGATCACAGAGTCAAGATTCTATTTTTGTTTGTTGGTTATTTTAACTGAGAGAAACTTACATAAGTTAAGATACCTTCAACTGCAAGTAAAAGAAAATCTAACAGTGCTAAAACCATAAGGATGTTTATTGCTTACTTTAAAAAATCAAAAAGTAGACAGTCTAAGTTTGTGTGTTTCTTTTTTTTTTTCCTCTCAAACCTCAATGATATCCTCAAAGGCCAAGGCTGTTTCTGTCTTCCCGTTCTCTAGGCATCACATCCTTAAATCATACTCCCCACAAATATAATGGGGAAGGACAAAACTTGTCTCTCTGTTGGAAAACAAAACATTTTTCCCTGAAGCCTGTCTTAGTTGTGTTCTCATTGCTAAGACAAAATACCCCACATAAGCTCAAGAAGAAGGGTTTATTTTAGTTCACAGTTTGCAAAGGTTTCAGTCCATATTTGGCGGGCACCAAGGTAGGGAAAGATGGCAGAGAGGCATGGCAGAGGAAAACCAGTCCATGGCACGGTAGGCACAAGCATCAAGATGTCCTTCTTCGGGAGGGAGAACATGGCGGACAGACAGCAGTAGCTACTAAAGGCTCTCTGAAAGGCTCGGCTCAGAGGCCAGGAATGATGCGGACTAAGGAGATACGAACCAGTAGAGATGTGCTCTGCTGACTAACGAACTGGGCTGAGAGAATCCAACTTAGAATGCGGTCCTGGCGCTAAAATAGGAACAGAGAAGTCTCGGTGTGGAGGCTCGACCGCGTGCCATTGGAAACTGCGATTTGGGTTTCCCGCCGCCCGGCGGCTGGCTGCCTTCACAGCGGCTCGGCAAGGAGAGACGCGCAGAAGCTCGGGAACGGGAGTCTGCGCGGCTGGCTGCCTTCACAGCAGCTCGGCAAGGAGAGACCCGCAGAAGCTCGGGAACGGGAGTCTGCGTGGCTGGCTGCCTTCACAGCGGCTCGGCAAGGAGAGACGCACAGAAGCTCTGGGAATGGGAGTCTGCGCGGCTGGCTGCCTTCACAGCGGCTCGGC